CATTGGGTTTCCGAGGCTGTAAATCTTTCCGGAAGTAGATTGCCCAGTCTTCCTTCCGTGGAGCAGCTGATGAGTTTGAACTGCTGACCTTCCAGTTAGCAGTCAAGTTCCTTATCCACTATGCTACCAGGACCATTTATTTGACAAAATCATTAAAAGACAACTCACCAGAGAAACCAGTGTGGCTGCAGCCCCCACAAATGCAGCAATAAACAGGTGGAAGGTCATTTGGAACTGCAAGAAAATGTAAGAGGGAAAACTGTTGCTCACAACAGCAAAGATATGCTCTACTGTACATCATGAATGTGGCTTTTTAAATGTGTTGCTATTTTTCTTGTGTGTTAACTCTGCACCTCTGACTAAACTGTTACTTCTCTGAGTGTATGCCTTCCATTCTTCAATGCTTCCTTTCAGTCTGAACCAGGGTCCCGTTTTGCTTTCAAGACATAATTTACTACCTTTTTCCCCAGGATTTACTTTTGTCCCCCTGCTTCATTTGTGTATGATATCTCTTTTCAAGACAGAATTTTCCTTTTCCAAATGTATTTTTTTTTTTAAATCTCTCATCAGAGATTAAGCAATTCCATAATGAAAAGTGTTATTTTTGTGCACAGCTCACTTTCTTGATAATTTTTTCTCTCTTTTTTTTTAATTTAAAGAATAAAAATTTTCATTTGGAGAATTTTGCCATTAAGCTCTATCTTTACCTCATGCTGCCAATTTCTTTTTTTAAGGGGGAAAGCTTTGGAATTGAAAGTCTTCCTATGCAGCTCTAGGGAAACAAGATGTTTTACCATCTCTGTTCACTGCCTCAGGTATACTCAGCCAATATTTTCCATAAGGCAATGTGGTAACCCAAAATCCAGCAAAGAGAAACTGTGGTCCTTAAAATTGAAGGTCATAGGTAGGACTTTTTTTTAATTAAAAACTTTTTATTGTGATTTGGATGAAAGCTTACAGAGAAAATTCATTTTCCATACAGCAGTTCGTATACATTTTGTTTCATGACATTGGCTGCAATTCCCCACAATGCGACAGCTCTTTTCCCACTTCCTTCCTGTGGTTATCTCTTCCCTGTGCACTCTAGTGCACTCCTGCCACCACCCCACCCCACCCCGCTATCTCCCTGTGCAAAAACTGCCCTTCTGTTCTCCCATGATTGCTCCAAAGAGTGTATCTACCTGATGTAAATGTTCACCCCATATGCCTGTCTATTGTTTGGCTGGAAGCCACAGGAGTGAGTTCAGTTCCAGACCTGAAGGGTAACTAGGGGCCATAGTCTCAGGGGTTTCACCAGGCTCTATCAGACCAGCAAATCTCTTCTTTTTCCCTCTTTTATTTTTTTTTTTTTTTTTAGTTTTGTTCCACATTGTTCTCCCACTGTATCCAGGATCTATAGGTAGAAATTTGTATGGTACTAACCATTCCATTGTAAAATAACTCAAATAGCTCACTCACCTCAGCTGTTTTGCAGATGGAAAGAAGGTTAGAGCCACACACCTTGCCAGGGAAAGCATTCCATGGGAGAACACCTAAGCAATATACACAAATTCACCAGGGTAAACTTGATGGAGTCATGGGCCACATGGAGACTTTTCCCCAGAGCCCTTCTTCCATCTTTAATCATCCTGGCTGAAAAGTTGGATCCTACCAATAATTAGAATCCTAGTCTCTAAAGGAGATTTACAAAAATGAGAAAGTGTTATTGGAGAGCTGTGAAATCTTGCATTTGCTATTGAAATGTGCTGCTTCTGAATTGAGAACAACAGTCAACTGGAGTAGATCAGTTGTTCAGCCAAGAAAACTCTCACCACTTCCAAGAATTTCCCTTACCAGGGAAGAAACCTCTCCAGTTTCAGTGGAGAATGATTAACCAACTAAGACCCAAGCATCTCTAGTCTTATTTTTTCTCATAACTACCATCCTATTTACCCTAGGAAAAGAACCAAATATATAATGCTTTCATAGGACATGTGGGAGCCAAGGCATCCATGCTGTAACTCACCATACATTCTGGCATCAGCACAGAGACTGCCTATGCTGGCAGAAGTCTTGCTGGGGAAGGCAATAGACTGGCAGGTGGTCCAGGTATTGAAGTAAATGTACACAGGCACAGCAGAGCAGGCAAATACCAGGAGCCACACAATGGTCAGGGCATAGGTGATGCCCACAAACTAAAACGATTGACATGGGGTGGTTAGAGATCAGCATCAGCCTGCAGATGTTGAAACACGAATTGGGAGATCCTGGAGTGGCATGTGCCAGACACAAAACCAGATTCCAGGCATCTCCACCAACTGAAATTAGTGAACAAGATACCTCTGCCAGTGTCATTGGCAATATCTACTAGAGAATTGGCCCCAAGTGTGACGGAGGGTGGGGGAGTGGGTGGGGGTTGGAGTGAGATGGATCCCTGGGTTAGAGAGGCTTCAGGGGATTTTCTGGGCAGATAAGGTGTAAAGAAAACAAAACAGATCTTGAAAGAAAGTCGTGCCATTTCATGCCTTAGGCTGAGCTTAGAAAATGTTATAGGACTTTTGGTCCCTAGTCATTGAACAGAGCCAATTGGAGATTTAAATTTACGATCCAGAAACCTTTCTAAGCCGACTGCTGGCCACAAAATAAAAGACATCATCACAATCTATGCATGTTCAGCCCCCAAAGGATCTTTAACTCTAAAGATTCAAAAACAGTCTGTCTTGCTAGAAGCATGAATAGCCCTTGGATTAAATTAAATATACAGATTTATTCTAGTTCCCTCTGGGGCCTCCAACAGTGTGGGACCCCAGAATATTGTGAATTCCACCCTGGAGTCAATTATTTAATTTACATGAAATCAGGTCAGATGCCTAAGTCTCGATCCCATGAGTAGCATTTTAGACTTGTGCAGTCAGGTCCACTCTTGTGGCCCATGCTAGGAGGAGCGTAAGAGGATACCAACAGATGGCTTGGAAATGGTCTGATTGCACAAAGCGTACCACAGAACTCTTGCTTTCATTTCGAGATGGAATTTTCTAGGAAACATTTGAAAGGTGAGGCTGAGCCAGCTGGGCACCACGTTCTTCCAGACCTTCTCGTTTGGCTGTAGCCACCACTTCCTCACTCAAAAGCCAGGCCCCTAGAAAGGACCTAGTCTTGGGTGAGAGTGAGGCCACAGACTCACGCCCATCCATCCCCCACCCCTTGTTATTGCCACAAAATCCTGAGGATGATCACCTTGTCGGGATGTCCTAGCCATTTTCCCAAACAATGACACACCCGCTCCAAAGAATGAGCTTGATGTTGGCCTCTGGAACCCCTCCCCTTCTGGCCCCCTGTTACCGTTGCACTCAGGCCCTTGCCGCAGATGGTAGTCTTGTAGTCGCCAAAGATCTGCCTGACTGCGCCGGTGGTGTAGAAGCCCTCAGCCAGCAAGAGGGCCCCATAAAGGAAGAAGAAAGAGGCAGTTCCATAGATGACATACTGGAAGGCATGGATCCTGCATTAATAGATAAACAAAAGAAATACCAGAGAACTTTATTAACTTTAGATCCAGTTTCCTTTTCTGCATAAGTGAGGTAGACATCTGAGTGGGCACCTTAGCAAGGCTAAGAATTCTTCAGAAGAATCTCTAGGGTTCCTTCCTCCATGTTTCCACCTTATCTTTACTAAAGTTAAGGAAGACAGGGAGTATGTGGCCAGGGGAACATGTTCTTCCACCCAAACCTTGCTTACTATGTGACCTGAAGAACCAGGGTCCCGCTCTCCTTGCCTGACCTTTTAGAGATGCTACCTCAGAGGTGAGAGGAGAGAGGAGGTAGACAAGGAGGAGGGCCCAAGTTACAATCCTTTGTAACTTGCCCTAGGAATGGGCGAGAGTTAGTACTGGGCCTGAGCAGACTTAAGCAGTGTCAAATCGAGAGCAGTAATCCAAGTGTGTCCAGTCATTGTGCCTCCCTGAATTCTCAATACCTACCATTATAGAGACTCCAGTTCAATCAATATTAACCATACCTAACACAAGTTAGATAGAAACATGTGTGAGAAAACAAGGAGGAGGTAGGAACTGAGCTGGTGAGTAGGCGCAGTTCACCTTTCTGAATCCAGCACTTCCCCCTCATTTAGAGAGTCAGATGTGGCAGAGATCAAATGATTCAGATTTAGTAATCACTGAGATACTGATGAGTTCTGAATCTCCAGGAAGGAGTGAAGGAAGAAGAGGTGGGTTTGTGTGGGAGGACAGATACTTACACATTGATGAGATACTCATAATCCTGGTAATTTTTGGAGAAGTAGGTCTCAATTAGCTTTTCTGTACCAGTGAGTGCTTCATGTCCACAGCCACAGAACAGGGCCACCCCAAAGAAACACAATCCAGTGGCCACCAAGGAAGCAAAAGGAGCCCCTACCAGACATCTTGCACAGCACTCTAACAAGCCTGGGGAAGAAGGAGGGGAAACAGTCAGGGAGGTACAATAGGTGGCTCATGCCACCCTTGCCACTGCTGCACCAGTCAGCCGTTGTGCTCACAGACACAGATAGAGTGCTCATTCCACAGTCCAAATGCAGACAAGTCTAAAGAGTTAGGCTTTTGGAATCTGGGACTGACCCAGAATCCTTCTTTTATTCCATTCTTGAAGATAAATCCTTACTTTAATTCTCAGAAGTTGTTTTTTGTAATTCAGTAATTCAAATAGCAAGGTAGAGAGATTATGCAACCAGCTCCTCTTTTCTTATCACTCTGCTTTATTTGCTTGCTTACTTGCTTGGTTTCTGGTTTGTTTGTTTTGATAATTCAGCAACTATTTATGGAGTCTTACTACATGCCCAGCATTGTGCTAGGGATTATGTAGAATATGAAGACATAGACTCTGTCATATGGGGGTTTCTCCGGTGATGTAGTAGTTAAGGCATTTGGCTGCTAACCAAAAGATTGGTGGTTCAAACCCACTTGCTGCTCCGTGGAAGAAAGTTGGGGTGGTCTGCTTCCATAAAGATTTACAGCCTTGGAAACTCAATGGAGGTAGCTATGAGTCAGAATTGACTCAGTGACAATGAATTTTCAATTTTTAGGGTAAAAAGTAACTCTATAGACTTAATAACTTCAACTAACCATCCCAGGTAGTTGAATAAGTGGTTACAGAAGGTAAAGTGCATTTGGAGCTGCAAGAAGGACTAGAGATGTGGGTATTATCAGACAGGATCTGAGTCTTAAAGGACGTTCCAGGCAGAGAAAACTTTGGAAATTACGTGTTTCTGAATATTCAGGACATTTTGTATACTTGCTCAAGGAATGTTGGATTCTTCTGAGTCTAGATATGTGGAGAGCAGTCCAAAGAGAAGAGGGTACTGGCAGAGGGCAGGCTTAATGATCTTTTGAACACTTAATGATTTTTTGGACACTTTACACGGCTTCTTTGTTGCCCTATTTTACAGCTTAGCCAATGTCTCCACCCTCAGTGCCACACTGAATTCTGTCAAAACAGCTACAAAGACACTTTATACAAAGTCAGCAAAGCATAAAATGTCCTTCTGACATGAGGAAAACACTCCAGAGTCTGGGAACACAGGTGTCATAAGTTGCTAAGAACCTTGAGATCCCCAAACATGGTAACCCAAGGTTCCATGACAGTATTTCTGAGAAACTGGAAGAAGTTTTGCACTGCATACTAGCCCGTGTGCTCCAAGGTGCCACACAGAATAAAACTTAGCAAATGTCAAGTAGATGACTGACTAGATGGGAAAAGGATGACTCCTTCCTGCCTCTTTGACATATCCCTAATAGGTACAAAGAATGAAAATGTTAAGTTCTTTAGGAAAAAAAATCTGTGTATACACACACACACATACATACATAAAGGAATTCTGGTGGCACAATGCCTAAGGCATTTGCCTGATAACCAGAAGGTTGGCAGTTCAATCCACCAGCTGCTCTGCAGAAGGAAGATGGGACAATCTACTTCCATAAAGATTTACCATCTTGGAAACCCAATAGGGGCTACTATGAGTCAGAATCAACTCAATGGCAGTAAGTTTTTTTTTTTTTTTTAAACACACACACACACACACACATAATCGGTAAATGTGCTAGGGACCTGCAATTTTGGAATAAATATGTGTGACTCCTTGTAGAAAGAAAATAAATTATATTAATTTTTTGAGTTTGGATTTTTATATTCAAGCATTCCTCCAAGCCAAGCTCACTTGTCTATACCAGGGGATAGGAGAGTCCTTTGCCTAACCCTCCTAATTCCAGGACAGTTTCTTTTTAGCCCCAAGTACATGAGTGCCTGGTGATCTGCATGGCTGAATTGTATCCATGTGAACAAGCTTCAGGGGCAAAATTATCTCTATCATGAAAAAGTTGAGGTAGAAGCATTTAGCTCTGTTCCCAGAATCACAAAATGTCCTATTACCTACCATACTTCATAATGACAGCCCTTCCCTGGACCTCGAAGAGTCTTTTCTTCAAAAATGCTTATATGTCACACAAGAGATGAGGCTCAGAAGCCCAAGTCAAGCAAAGAAAGTAGCTAACATTAACAACAGAACTGAATTATCTCTCTTTTTTCAAAAAGTGAAGCACAGGTGTCAGAAAACTCAATGGGAAGCAATCCATTTGTAGCTGTGCTGCTGTAAGTGGAGGCTGAGTTTACTCAGCCTGAACTTAGCAAGAGTGCTTGGTAAGAGACCCTCATTAGACCTGGCCCATAATGTACGTGTGTGTATGGACAGGCATGTTCATGCATACCAGTATGCACATACACATGTGTATACTAGAGAGAAAAAGATGACTGAAACTGATTAATGCTCTCAGAAAATGATTCCAGAAATTGATCTTCCTCATTCTCAACAGGTAAGATACTAGATGTATCCTGTTGAGTCAAGAAAAGGAGCTTGGAAGTAAACAGTATGCCATTTTCCTTCTCTGCCTGTACAAATCCTCTCCACCCCTACACTCTTACACTCTTCTTGTAAAAAAACGGCTCTGAAGCCTGGGGGATGGGGAAAGGGAAGGTCAGTGACCCCACTGTTCCCTTTCTCCCCAGCACAGGGTCATGGCTTGGACAGAGCCCTCCATAGCTCTCCCAGACAAAGGAGCCTTGTTTTCCCCTGATATCCCAGGAGCCTCATTGGTATTCTGCAGGGGCCTGCAGGCCTGGGGGTGGGGAGGGGGTCAGACCCAGGGAACAATGGCAGAACTGTTTGTTTAGTCCAGGGTAAGGAGAGCCATCCACCCTAGCAAGTGGCCCTTCTGGGCCCACTCATTCATCCCAGCTTTTTGACCCTGGGAAGGGCTAAAGAGTGGTGCAGGTGTGATCAGGATGGAGGAATTTGAACTCTAGCTAACCAAACACAGAATTCACCCTAAGCTTTAGCTGATGCCTCCTCCAGGATTGTAAAGACTACATATATATATGTAGTATATTTGATCCATCAATCATCATCCAAATAACCAAAAAGCGTCATATGTAGTGTTCTCACTGGGTGATAAAGGGCTAAACCTTGACAACAACTCTTGAGTCACCAACTGATACTTTTTCTTCTCACATCCATTTTCCCTCTATTTCTCTAGAACTTAAATAAATTAGCATCTCTTTTTCTGCTACACTGTCACTCAAAACAAGGGACAAGAAGGAAACAGGTTACAATGAATCTCTAATATGGAGATATGGAACAAGATGGATTGACACAGTGGCTGCAACAATGGGCTCAAGCATGGCAATGATTGTGAGGCTGGCACAGGACCACATGTTTCATTCTGTTGCACATGGGATCACTATGAGTCAAAACTGACCTGAAAGCACCTAGTAACAACAAAATATGAGTCTGAAATAAATGGCCTTGAATAAATCTATCACTTGTGAGCTACAAACAGTTCAACAATAACAACATAAGCATCAGATGTCCATCTTTTGTCACAATTGAAATGAAATGTTTGCTCTGAGGGCGTTTAAGTTCAGCAGAAGTGAAGGATCTCAGTCAGTCTGTCCAAGCAAAATCAAGTTTTGGATCCAAGCTGAGGAAAACTCAGAACGTGGAAGAAATTATCTCTTCATCAAAGTAGTTAACAATGAAAGCATTCTGAAGAAGGTCCATTGGGTTCACTTAGACTTTCCACAGCCCAAGAAATGCTCTTGGGTTGTGTGAATGATAGCCCAAAGCCATAGGTTCTCCATTTCAGAACCCCTCATGGTTGAAAGGGTGTTGGTTTGGTTCAGGAAGGCTGTGAGGAATTCTAGAAAAGAAGTTCCTTGGCTGTCTCAAAAGATAGTCTCCCATTCCCAGGTTAAGTACAAAATATGCCATGGTAGAATTGGTACAAAAGAGCTCCTACAAAAGAACTATATAGTGGAAATATTTCCAATGCAACTCAATTGTATTAAAGTGCTTGACTTTGATAAAAGTCATAGAGAAGAATAATGACCCGCCCCAGTGTTTTCTTTTCATATTTTCTCTTTATGTGGTTCACTCCAAGTATTTAGCACTTTAGCAGTAACCTAGACACTATGGAAAACAGAAGAGAATTATAAGGTCTAGCCTCTTTCTTTAGAGAACTCGAGGTCTTGTTGGGGAAAACACACATGCCTGTGAATCAAGACCAAAGCTACCTATACTTAAGTAGTAAAATGAATGTAATCGAGTCCTGTGGGCAAAAAGTAAGGAAAGGGAAAATATCAGTTCAGTGTTAACTATATTTATCTGAAAACTCCCCAAACAAGTCTAATCATTCCATGATTGAACTTAAAGTTCTCCTCCATAATACTCTATACAGGGTTCTGACAAAGATCAATGGGACCATGTGATTGTCATCCAGATCCATGTCCATCAAAGGGACTGAGCTGATTCTGAAGCTGTCTCTTTAAGCAAGAGCTCAGAGCTCCCAAGCCCTCCCTTCTTTCCCATGCCCTGGGCACGCCTCAAGAACAAGCTCCATGATGGAAATTCAGTGTGAATCTGGGAGCTCATCAAAGGGAGGAAAGGAAGGGCTTTCATCGAAAAGGATAGCAGAAAGAGACCAATTGTGCCCTGTACAATTCCCAGCCTGTCCCTTGAATCCAGCTGACAAAGGGAGAGATAGAAGAACCCTACACAATAGAGCTAAACAACAGGCAGGCTCATTGAGTGAGAAACTGGCCCCATCTCCCTAAGTCTCTAATCGGCACTACAGTCTTACCCTCCTCCCAGAACCCACCCCTTAACCTCACCCTATGAACAGAGGCCTCCTTGATCAGGGCCTATAGCAGTTGACAGGGCCAAGATGCTAGAGCAGCCGTGACTGGTACTGGGGATGGATGGAGATCAGTGGGTGGGTTCTAGGAGTAAAATAACAATCAGGAGATGCCACAGACAAACAAAGACTTTTACTTCTTGCTTTATCCTGGTCAGACAAAGCCTTGCCTATGGTCTTGCCTTTCCTCCATGATAGCAAACATACCACGTTCAAGTACTAAAAAGGGGCCTTGCAGTCACTTGGTCCTGGGAACCCAAGTCCTGCTGCATAGTCAAGTCATGTGGACAGGATTAAATAAAGAAGAAACTCCGCCTCTTTTTTTGACAGGTAATATTATATTACTATAGCAACAATATCTGGACCACTTTGTTTCCCATGCTCCCCACTCCTCCCCAACACACATGCACACACACACATTAATGCCAGTTTATGCTCAAATTGCATATTTCAGAGGCCAAGTTAAGAGCTTGATTATTAAAATTGACCCCTGACACATGATATCTGCCTTGCCCGCTTATGGGTGGATATAGAAGTAGCTACCACTAAACTAAGAGAGAACAGTTGTTGTTCTTTATGCCTTAGGTCAGTCTCCCAGTGATTCTTCCTCTTTCCTTGGTTGCAGTGTGAAGCTGATCTGGGAAACTTGGTTTTCTTCTTTGGGATGTCACTGGCTGCTCTCCAGAGCCCTGCCTGGCAGAGAGCTCAGAGGCCAGCACAGAGCTGAAAGATCACCCTTAGGACCATTTTGCAACAGCCAATCAGGGATTAATCAATCAGTGCTTGCTAAGCTTTTGATGTAAGTTTGGCATTGGGTGGGTCTGGGCATGGGAAAAGAAGTGAAACCTGATCAGCTCATCTGCCCCAGCTGATATGACCCATCCCAGTCATGTCAGTGCCCTCATATGATCTTCTATGCACCCAAAGTTCTGTGAACAGGGAGGACATTTCCACTGTTGCTTTCTTCCAAGACCAAGAGCTAAACCAGAGATGGATTTGAGGGCATCAAGATGATGCACAAAAAAGCAATGGAGGAAAAAGAGGCCATTGGCTGGGGTTGTACCTTGATGGGTTTGGAGACTATATTTCCCCTCCCACCTATCTCTCAAGGGTTTCTTGAGTCTTGGTACTACTCAGATAGCTCTGAGAGAGCAGTTTTACTGGCAGGCTGTTTAGTAAGCTTCTTGTTTCCTAGTCTAAAGCCAGGAGGCAAACACTCCAAAGCAGAGAGGACTTTTCAATCTGCTTGGTTCTCCAAGAGGTCATCTGTCTCCGTAGGGCCAAGATAAAGTATCGGGAGAGGGAGAGGCTTTGCTTGGTCATTTTAGTCAGTGTCTCTAGGATGAGTAAGTGAAAGTGTTGGTTTGGATTGAGTTTCTTTTTAACTCCTGGCGTTCTTGCGGCATTCTTGCAATCTTAGAGAGGTTTGGTTAGTCCCCAGGAATTTTGTAAAACTGGGCTCCTGCTCTGCCTCCTCACTCTTTGCCTGGGTTACATCCACTTACTCTGAGCCAGCCAAAACTATACTGCTCGGCAAACAGCCACCTTTAGAGGGAAGCATCACAGTCTGGTTACCAGGGTAACAGTCACTGTTCTCAGACAACTGGCTCACAAGAGCCAATGTTTTGCTGTTCAGTAATGGCATTGTGTTACCCAGCAGAGAAAAATCATCCACTGCTCTTTGGCTATTTTCCGGTTCCATTCTTATCCCAAAGACTCATTTGGAACACCCCCCTCCCAAGTCAGGACAAAGTGTAATGAACTATCATTTCCCCATAAACCTTTTGTGCAGACACTACACTACTTCAATTCAATGCTCCTCTTCATTCCAATCCTAAGGGATTCTACATGGTTGAGATTTTGAGCTCCCTGTGCCTGGAGGTGATCAAGCAGAGGCTGTATGAACATTTAACTGGCTGCTGTACAAGTCAATCCTACATAGAGGGTTAGCTCTGACAACTTCTAAACTTTTTTCCAATCCCAAATTTCATGATATAATCTGTTTACTGTAATTGTTAAACAGCAACACATTTCACCTCAGAAGTAGTAGCAGTTCAATACCTTGTTAGAGACGGTTTATAATTCACAAACTATTTAAGTTACTCTGTCATCAAATAACTGAACACTCAATGGCTATTCCATCATGTGAACCTGGCCTGTGTATTGCCTACTCCACAGATTCAGGATCCAATCCATGTCCTCAATGGTGCCCCCTATCCATGACCATCATCCAGCCTCCGTAACAGGTAACTATGTTACCTGTTAACTATGGTTAACAGTTATCTGGTAACTATGGTCTTATTTGCTCTTGTTCCTGCCTCAGGGCTTTCTTCCCCTGAAGAATCAATATTCAACAGTCTTCTTTACCCCCTCTCCATTATTAATTCACAACCTATCCAATCAGCTCTCCTGACATTAGATAGAGTTTCTGATGTTACCCAGGGCAGGAACTGAGTTCCTCTGGCATTCACCTCTCACCCAACCACACTTAATTGGCCCAATGATTCTTACCCAAGCATACAAAGTGCACAGAAAGAAAACCCAACCACCCTAGAAAGAGGAAAAGTCAGCCTGTATATAGTTAATTGTATAATAATTGGTACTATCATGATTTACAATTCTTACAGCGCTTGCCTAATTTCAAAGAACTCCCACACCATTTTTATTGGATTCTCACAACCCTAAAAATAGACCAGTTATTGTTATTTCCATTTTCCAAATGATAAAATGGTTATTCAGAGTGACCCACTCGAGGTCACACAGATCATAAGTGACAGATCTGGGATTTGAAACTGCTTGTTTTGACTCCTAGCCCAGTGCTCTGCTCTCTTAACAATACTACCAGATACTCACTTCAAAGAGCTCTCTCAATGTTTTAGGATAAAAACAGCCTAAGGGTGACACTAACTTCATATAATTGAAAACCTTCTCTCAGTGGGCATTGTTGGAGTCTACTGGGTACTACATTTGATGGTGAATACATGGGACAATTGATTCCCATTTCATTTAGGATGCATTCAAGCTGCTACCTTTGTTTTCCTGAATATGAATAGGGTCTACATGTCTCTGTGGCATCCTGTACAAACAAAGACTTTTGGGCTCTGCACACCTTGCTCTGAGTAGACACTACCAGAGACCAGAACTTCATAGCTTCTTTCTTTGTTCATGGAACCTGGAGAAGTCCTCAATACTCAGCCAACTCAGCAGGAGACCTAAAAGACCAGCAGTCTCCCTGTCACAAACAGGGATTCAAAGTCTGAGCCATGCCTTCAGGAAGGCTAAATCTATGACATTCACTAGAAATGGTCACCATACATACATACATACACACACACACACACACCCCTACACATAGCTGTTCCTTCATGATAAAGCCACTGAGGACTTTATTTTCATGTCTGGGTTTGAGATTGGCCTCCTCGGCCATCATCAAGCCTGAGTCCAGCTTCCCCAACTTTCTACAGACACCACACAGGGTCCAAGTTTTGTATCAAGCAAACAGTTATTTTGTACACCTGAGGGCTAGTCAACACTCAGTGGCCTTCAGTAGAACCAGGGGTACCAGGTGACCCAGCCATTACCAGGGCCTTTGAATAACGCAAAAAAAGAAGGTAGAGGGAAGTGAGGGGGGTGAGAAGACCCATAATCACATCCATCCTGCTAGGTACTCTCTCCAAGGATCTGTGGGACTATCCACGTGCTAATGAAATTCTTTGGTGATAAAGCATCATTCTCAGTACAGAAGAAAAGGACTTAATCTAGTTGTATGCTAAGGAATTTAAAAGAAAACAAATGCCGAAACACAACTTATTTAAACCATTGTAAACCATGAACCCCAAAGTTGGGAATTATCTGGCAAATTCCTATGTCTGCGTGAATCTTCCATGCTAAAGTTTTTGAAACTCACCCATGTCTCTGAGACTCTGACTCCAATTGTAGCCGGCTGGCTAGTCTGCTTTGTGGCTGATTTTGTTCAGCTGGAAGGATCCTGGTCTCTCCAGTCTCCTTCTTCAGTCCTTTACTTTTTCTCTCTGAGTATCTTTGTCCTCTTCTCCTGCAATGAAAAGGGCTTTCTGATTGACAGCCAACCCCCTTAAAGGGACAGGACCGTTTTCCTCCTCCTCTCCTCCTCCCCTTCTCCTCCCCTTATCCCCACCTCCTCAGGGATACTCCCTTTTCTAAGGGCTCCATCTTCTCTTTCTGCCTTTCACTGCCAATTGTTTCATTTTCTTTTTTTGTTTGTTTTGTTTTAAAAAATTATTTCCAAAGGCTTGCCCTTGTGGAATTTCACTTTGCTGCAGAGACATCTGGAAATGTCGATTGGGGGTGGAAATAGAAAGAAGAGGTCCTGGAAATCTCAAACTGATCCTTAGGTCTATTTGATGTGGGATGTGGCAGCACAAGAGTCAGAAGCCAAGGGAAGGGTAGCACTGACCAAAGGTTCAGGGTCAAAAACCTAAATGCTATCTCTCAGAGTCCTTCCAACTCAGCCCCAATCTCACCCCTCACTCCTAGATGCCCCTTGCCCTATCCACTTTTCCCTCCCCTAACTCCCTGGCAAATAAACACCCTTCTCCTCACCATCCAGCTCTAGAAATAGAGAAGAGAATTTCCTCTTTTAAATAATTTCCTCCAAATCCTTCTTGGTTTCAACTAAAGAAGGACAAGCTGCTGATTCCACGAACAGATTGTGACCAAGCCGGGGGAGGCTAGAATTGTAATAATTTTGTAGATGGGATAACAGATACCAGAGAGGGGACAAGCTCTGTGCAAGTTTTACAGAATAAGATAAAGAAAAGACTATAGTTGAGGATGTGGTTGGCTTTCAAGGAGGATAATAGACTTTGAGACAGGTCAAGAACATGATCTTGGAATCAGGTAGTCATTATCCCATCCTGAGAACATAGTGTCTTCATCAGAGAGCTTAGACCAGCCAGGCTGGTGAGAGGCAGGGGGTGCGTTGAGGTGAAGCAGCAGGTGATAATAAGAGTGGAGAGGAGAAAGGAAACATAGTCTTTGCCTCACAGAAAGAAACATGAAGAAAAAATGACCAAAAGGAAAAAATGAGCATAATATAGAAAACTTATGTTACCTGTAATAGTTGTTGCTAATGACTATGAAGGATCCTGAAGGTATTTGAGTGCCTAGTGCTAAGAGGGATTAACTTGGAAAAGATTTCTAGAAGAGATGATTCTTAACCAATGTCTATCTGGTCTCTTGGTTGATTTTCTCTCTCCCCTCGGGAGCTTCAAGAGAGGCACAGTTCTCTTGACCTTGAAGCCAGTGTCCTCCCATGGATGACCTATAAGGAAACTGGTTAGCATATAACTCAGAGGGTATCTCTTGGAAGATTACAGGGAAGAAAGGTACAGTCTCCCGAAGTTTTTCCTGGAGTTTTGCCTTGGGGTAAGACAGGAGAGGAGGGAAGTGCTGAACAGAACCTAGACTCTTGCTATGTGTGGGAGAGAGGCAAGATTGTGTCTTACAATTTTCTCTTCAGGCCATAACTTGAGCATGTTTCTGACTTGGGCTCTGCTGTTAGGAAATGGGTGAGTCTTCTGAAGATGCCCCTGGGGGTCCACCATGTTCCTGAATTCTGAAATGTCTGAGACTTGTCCAGAGTTCTAGAACTCTGGCTTCTTTACTCATACCAACCACAAGGAGAAAAAAAAAAAAAAAAACTAAACCAAAGTCAATGCCATCAAGTCAATTCTGACTCATAGCAACACCTCCTTGGGTTTCCGAGGCAGTATGTCTACGGAAATACATTGCCCAGTCTTCCTTCCAAAGAGTGGCTGGTGGGTTTGAACCGCCAGTCTTCTGGTTAGCAGTCAAATGCCTTAGGCACTATGTCACCAGAGCTCCCAAGGAGAAAGGATTCCTGTAAATGCAGAACAATGTATTAGTAGTAACTTTCCAGAGCAGCCTAGTGCTTTAACTGAGCCATATGACTGATGGTAGAGGGTCCCAAGGCCCCTGCCCTCCCCAGTCCTGCTCTCAGCCATAAACTCTGCCAGCTGTGGAAGCTGAATTGTAGGACTGTGTCAACAGTTAGCTTCTGGATGGTTGTTGTTATAATGGCTCTGGAGGAGGGGAAGGACCAAGAGTCACCAGACTTGGCCCATAGCTCATCAGAGGGCAAAAGAAGCTGAGCCTAAACTTTGGGGTTTCTGATTTAGGAGACAAGAGAGATGGTTCATTAAAGGTCAAATAGACAAGACAGCTCTTCACACAGGGCAATTGGCCCAAGCTGAGCCCTCTCACAAATCTTTCCCTGGATCTTCAGTGGCAGATCTAGGGACTCCTAGGCTCCTCAGAATAAAAGATGTGTTCCTAGAAGAATCACAAATCTCAATTTATCAACCACATTTCACTAATGCACATTTCCCTTTTCCTTTCCCTCATCTCTGTTCCTTTATTCATCATTTTGTCTTCTCCCTAAGCCTCAATCTCTTTGTGTCTCTATCTCTCCATCTCTGTCTCTGTGTGTCTGTCTCTCTGTCTTGGTTTCTTTCTCTATCTCCACAATCTTTAGTTGAGCATGTCTTCCTTTCTTCACCTTGTTCTTATGGTTAAAACAGATGAGTGCTTTAACCACTGCACCACCAGTGCTCCTTCTGAGAAGTATAAAACCAAATTCACTGCCATTGAATCTATTTCTACTCATAGCAACCCCCAGTGGGTTTGCAAGGCTGTAAATCTTTATGGGAGGAGATTGGCCCTTCTTTTTTCCATGGAGCAGCTGGTGGGTTTGAGCCACTGACCTTTTGGTTAGCAGCCAAATGCTTTAACCACTACACCACCAGAACTCCTTAAGTACAGAGAGTTGGAAAACCAGGGCTTGGAAAGGGTCTTGGCTAGGTGGTTGTGCCTTGCTCACTGCTTCCAGTGCTTTACGATTTCCCACTCCCCAGGACCTAGTGTGTCACAATCACTTTGTACCTCTGACACTTGGCCTCTGCACCCACTCACAACTCCTCTCCTGAGCCTTTCCCACAGCCTTCATAGGCTTTCTTTCCAGATCCCCCAGCGGGTTTTCTACCCATTCATTCCCACATTTCTGTGATTCTGCTTCCATTGGTTGTGCTGGATGCCCTTGACAAAATGCTCCCCAGACTCCAGCTGGGATCCTAGCAGTGCCTAGGGATTCCTCAAGAGGGCACTGCCAGTCTTCTTGGTGGTAGCCTGCTGCCTGCACTGGGTGCCTGTAAGAACAATGCAGGATTATATGAAACTAGTAAACAGTTTGCTTCATGCAATTCTGATGGGACCTCAGAGCATCTGGGCCCCCCTCGATCACAGCTTAGTTTGGTTGTGCATCTTTTTTGCAAGTAACTCCAAAACACTTGGACATCACCTTCACTCTGTGAAGCCATAGTATCAGATTCTTGAAGACTATTGGACACATGAATTCTCTTTGCTCCATTGTATAAAATAAACTCTGAAATTCAGGGAAGTCCAAAGAATTTTCCTCCAGGAAACTAAATAAGGACTCAAGTGCCCAATGTGGGGGCCCAACCCTCCATGTCTACATACAAGGGAACAGAGAAGGCACAATACCTATGTGACCCTGAGTAACCTGCTAGCATTTGGGCTTCTAGAGCTGAGGCCTTGCTTTTCCTCCCCAAGATAATGACCTCCCAGACCAACTTTGGGAAGCCAAATGGCTTCTTCCTACAGCTTTTCTAGTCCTGACACAGAAGGCTACCTGGATGACTGGCAGTATATTGTGTTATGTGCATTTGGGGCCAGAACTTTCCACACCCAACACGTGGCCATGACTTTCAGGCCAAGAGAGCTGAGAGCTGAGGGCCAGAGATGACACATACATTGATCTGTTATGAGGTGAAGGGAAGTGGAAGGTGCTCTTTTGCCTCTCCTGAATATTCACAAAGCAGTGTAATGATGGATAAGAACAGGTGATGAATTGGATGTGTATTTGTGATGGAGAGATTCCCATGGCTTAGGGACAGAGTGAAGGGTAGCCTGGAAGCCAAAATAATCAGATGAATAAGCTGAAAGTACTGCCTGAGGAACATCAAGCAGCTACTGGAAACACAGAGAAGTAAGTTGTCCACATAACCCACTTCCAACACCACGAAAAGTTGACCAGCTTTGGCAGGGTGGCCCCTGCAGAGACACTGTATGTTTGAAGTGATCTCTGAGCACAGTAGAAATAAAACTACTATCTTTGGCTGTTGAATACTCACCTAACTCCTGGAGACCAAAGTTATTTGTTCAATTTTGTTGCTGAGGTAAAGAGGCAGCTTTCCCAATGCTAGCCAGCAGGCAAAGGACCAAGCCACCTCTAGAGAATATCTCTCCTGACTCTCATTACAGTTGCTTGAAAGATTGTTCTGCCCCAAAAAATGAAGAGAGAGACTCTGCCTTGAGCATAAACAGCCTGGGAAAAGATGGACATGTTTCAGCATGTTTTAGACTGAGTTTCCAACGCTATACTTCTCAGGCTAAGTAGAAGGCCCATGTTTGGAATCCAAGGTGAGGCAAGTTTTCATACAATTTGTAGGTACAGTATGATAGTTGGAGTTGTGTGTCAACTTGGCTGGACCACAATTCTGTGTGGTTTAAGCAGTTGTGATGTGGGTTATTCCCATGATGG